TGGGAATCACCAGGAGTTCTGGTGCCAGCAGCATGTGCCAGGCCTGCCAGCACATTCACCAATGGTCACAGGAGTTACAAGAAGCAGACCAACCTAGCCCCAAACCTGCTGACGCTCCCTTCCCGCCCCCCCAGCAACACAGCTGAGAGCCAAGCTCTGGGGAGTGCACTGGGCTGGGTCACTCTGGTTCCTGCCACCACTGAGTACAGCGGGGCACCCCTGTTGCCAGGCCCCTCAGTAATCCTCCAAGTTGCCTTGCTAGGGAGAGGCGGTTAGGGGGAAGGTGCAATGAGGGCAGGAGGGGTGGAAAGAGGCAGGGCAGGGGCAGGGCCAGGGCAGGTGTCCCAGACCCTGCACCCCTGTAGTGTCATAGCATGGTGTTGGGGGGGCCCTACTGTAGTACTGAAAGTTTGCAAATGAGACATAGGAGCAAGGTCCTGCCCATTTGCATCATTCTAGATCATAAAGTAATTTTTGCAGATGTAAAATTGTAATATTACTGATGTCCTGGACAAATGCCAATTTTGCAAAGTACATTCTTTCTCCTTAAATTTGCCTGCATGGTTACAACTAGCTTCCGTGTTATAGAAAATCTACCATGAATTAGGTCCATAAAGTCCAGTGTCCTGCTTTTGGGCATAGCCTGCCATACTTGAAGCCACAGATAGGTGCAGACACCCTTAATAAAGTACCTAGCCAATTACACAATGCGCTTTTGGGAAGGCCTCATATACAAGATCTGAAATGCTCTTAGGATGCATAACACCAGTGTTACTGGTAACAAATTACCTTGCCTGTTTTAGACTGTTGTGCAGTGACATTGTATGTTCTTAAACAGCTGTTGAGTTCTATAGTACAGTAGGGGCTGCATTTCAGTGAAAAGTGAAGTAGTTCATCCATATATTTCCCACGTATCCATCCACGTATGTCCTGCTAGTCACCCTAAAGCAAGGCAACCTAGTGCCTGACATTCCTGTCAATTGGTGAAAACACACTGAGTGCCAGCTAGTGGAGCAACTATCTATTACACTAGATTTCAAAGTATGGGCTGTGACCCAGTAATGGGTTGCAGAATGTCAGGCACTGGGTTGCCTTGCTTTAGGGTGACCAGCGGGGGTATTAAGGAAGGCTTCCCTATCTGTCCTTGCACCCTGGAAGTGGCCAGCAGCAGGTCCAGCTCCTAGGCAGGGGGCCAGAAGGCTTAATGCACTGCCCCCACCCCTAGCACTAGCTCTGCACTCCCATTGGATGGCTCCTGGCCATTGGGAGCTGGGGAGGCACTGCCTCCAGACAAGAGCAACACGCCAAAACATTTTCACACCAAGCTATTTGCACTCTGAGTCACTTGCATGCCTTCACCTATGAATGTGACCTGCTACTGGCCTTTCTAGGGTCACAGCATGGTCTGTGCTGCCAGGACAGCCTGCCTAAGTATCCCTGCTGCGCCACTGACTGGGATCTGCCAGAGGTAATCCCATGGCCCAAACCCATACCCCAATTCCCTGCCCCATCCGTGAGTCCTTTTCAACCTGAGCCCCCTTCGGCACTCTGAACTCCTCATCACTGTCCCACCCCAGGCTCCGTACTCTAATCAAGTGGCCAGGCAGGACCCTAATGCTGGTGGCTGCACCTTTGGACCTGCACTGACCAAGGGCAGCAGTTGAGTGGGGTGCACTGTTGTACCCACATGCAGTGCCTAACTCTCGCCTTTATCCTTTCTTCTCGTATCATGTTTATTTTGACTCTCACCCTAATCAGTCGAAGATCTGACTGTATAGAGATGACAGATTCTGAAATGACTGTTACATCTGTAACCAATCGCCTCTTGTCCACCAGGACATAATCCATTTAATTTCTTATTACATCATTCAGCGTTTGCCAAGTTCATTGCCTTCCAACCCTCTTCTTGAAGTTCATGATATATAGATGTGAGGCTTCTGCACAGTCAGCCAGCCATTGACCTCTTAATTTCTCATATCTGAGCCATA